AAAAAAAAAAAAAATAGTCATTTTTATTTTTATCCATCCAACCAAACACAGAGGAAGGAAATTGTATTCTTCCTACTTTCTATTCTTAAAAGATAGAAAGTGTATTCCTCATATTTTTCATTATTCTTACTTTTTATCCTCCCTACCAAACGGAGCATTAATATACCAACGATTTATTCGTGTATTAAGTTTCCATATATAACTATCATAATATATACATTCTATATAAAACTTCCGTTAATTATCAAAATATTTAATAAATGATTTTCACATATAACTCAATCAACGGTTTTCATATATAATACAATCAATGATTTTCATATATACTTCAATGATCTAACATATGTGACTTTCTATAACTATCAGACGTTGTTTGTTACTATTTTACAGGGTAGGGGTACAATAGTAAACTTGACAAAAAAAAAATTTAAAACTAAATAAATTTTTTTGTCGAATTTATCTTCAAATAAGTCTATATAGGGGGACTAACCTCTAAATTTCCCAAAATCTTAACTCAAGCCCTATTTTTTTTTAAATTGGGCTGGGGTTGGCCTGCCCAAATTGTACCACTACAAAAAAAACAGCTCGACCTTTGAAAGACCAGATGAAAGTGTATCAACCAACTAAAATATTTTTGTTGTAACAATATCAAATTTTGATTTTTTTTGGTTAATAAATATAAATTTANCATAATCTTAGCCAACACAAAAAAAAAAAAAATAGTCATTTTTATTTTTATCCATCCAACCAAACACAGAGGAAGGAAATTGTATTCTTCCTACTTTCTATTCTTAAAAGATAGAAAGTGTATTCCTCATATTTTTCATTATTCTTACTTTTTATCCTCCCTACCAAACGGAGCATTAATATACCAACGATTTATTCGTGTATTAAGTTTCCATATATAACTATCATAATATATACATTCTATATAAAACTTCCGTTAATTATCAAAATATTTAATAAATGATTTTCACATATAACTCAATCAACGGTTTTCATATATAATACAATCAATGATTTTCATATATACTTCAATGATCTAACATATGTGACNGAATATTTAATATATGATTTTCATATATAATACAATCAACGATTTTCATATATACTTCAATGATCTAACATATGTGACTTTCTATAACTATCAGACGTTGTTTGTTACTATTCTACAGGGTAGGGGTACAATAGTAAACTTGACAAAAAACAAATTTAAAACTGAATAAATTTCTTTGTCGGATTTATCTTCAAATAAGTCTATATAGGGGGACTAACCTCTAAATTTTTCAAAATCTTAACTCAAGCCCTATTTTTTTTTAAATTGGGCTGGAGTTGGCCTGCCCAAATTGTACCACTACAAAAAAAACAGCTCAACCTTTGAAAGACTAGATGAAAGTGTATCAACCAACTAAAATATTTTTGTTGTAACAATATCAAATTTTGATTTTTTTTGGTTAATAAATATAAATTTATTATACATCAATAACTATTCATCCTTCGTCGTCGTTGTTGGGAGTAGTTAGTAGAATTGTGTATGGCGGTCGATTAGACTCTCGGACTCTCCTATGAAATTTTGTTTGAGTGATCTGTATTAAATGTCAAGTATGTAGTGATATTTTGTGTGATAAATATGTGTTTATTAATAAAAATAATATCACTCCTTTTTAATTAAATAATCCAAACATCCAAAAAGGAAAAAAAACTGGAGTATTTTAATTACAAAAAATACATTTTCGTAATTCTTTAATGATAAGCATATTTATGCCGGACTAGGATTGTTTTTAAACCTTAAAAAAATGGAGTAGTTTGTATACAAAGAAAAATGTAACCTAAGCAGTTCCCCGGAGCAGCATAAGTCGCAGGTAGCTTTTCCACACTCCCTCCCCCGTGCGCCAAGTGTTCCTTTTCTTTCCTTCTCTCTGTACCCTATGTGACAACACAAAACTCAAATCTCTGCATCGTCGCTTTCCGGGACTCTCTCTCCGTCTCTCCGCGTCGCTCTCTTCGTCCTTCGTCACCGTAGTGCATTAGTATAACCTGTTCGCAATTTGGTTCTCAACTGGGTCTTGTGAGTTTAGAATTTCTGGGGCTATTGATGGTTTTGTGGAGTACAGAGAGTTTAATCTTTTTCTAATCTTATATTTTATGCTTACTTAACAGTTACTCTTTGAATTTCTATATCGTGATCAGCCATCATTGTAAAGATTAATGTGGCAGTTCAGTCTCTTTTTTTTTCCCCTGCTAAATGCAGTTCTTAAAAGTCCTATATTTCTGTTCGTTGGAGTTCAGTGTTCTAATTTTTGTGAGTTTAGACCAGTAATTGGTGGAAAGATCTAATAGGTATTGGATATAAATTTATATTTCGATTGAAGCCCTTGCTTTTCTTTTTTCGTTTTATTTTACTGTCTTTTAATCTACTTAATAAACCGAGGTTTAAGGGTATCTACGAGAGTGTGGGTGTTTTATGTTTTGTGTCCTTTCTCCGGTTCCTTTATCTTTTACCCCTGTCCCATGATAATTGTTTTTGAAATTATTTCTGTTTGCAACCATATCTAAATGTTTATGTGTTTGATGAAGTTACATATCTTTAATAGTGGTAGTTCATAGTCCAGAATCAGAGCCTATTTCCTAATATGAATAGCTTATATAATCGTAATAGGTTTGAATGGACTGGTTAAATGTTGCCATAATAGGGTTTAGGGGTTATAATGATTCTTGGTTTTAAAATTATACATATCTATGTATGTATGCTGTGCCAGATATGATTTTCAAACCTCTTTTTTTTTTTGGGGGTGAGGTGGGTACAATGGAGCGATTAAGTCCCATAAACTTGTCCATCCTATTCATCAAAGCTGTTTCTTTTATTGGCACATTGTGGTTTTACTGCTTTTTGACCCTCATATTGTTTGAATGAATAATTATTGGATAAAGTTTACGAATTGGGACTTATTTTATCCTCTTGAATAATGACGTATTCTATTTTTGTTGTTGTCCGGTTCCTTGTTTACATTTGGAAATAATACTTGCAATTTGGTTTTCCTCATACTTGTTTTGCATTTTCACCCTTGAATTGGGATATATAGATTCTAAGAATTTATTTTCATTCTAATTATAGTAATGTACTAGTGTTGGATTTTCAGTGAATGGCAATGCAAACAGAAACTCCTCAGAGTCCTCCCAGTCCCCAAATGGTTGGAAATGCTTTTGTCGAGCAGTACTACCATATTCTTCACCACTCCCCAGAGTTGGTTCACAGATTTTATCAAGAATCAAGTGTGTTAAGCCGGCCCGATCCAAATGGTGTAATGACGTCGGTGACAACCATGAAAGTGAGTGCCGGGAATTGGGGTAGATTCCCTCTATTTGATCTTTATTAGTGTCCCCACAATTATAGATAGAGATAATTAAATTTCTAAATCATCAACAAGTGTTTATACTGTCTCTATATGCCTTTTTTTGTGATGATGCTTTAGTGAGTAGAAGCTATTCAACCCTTAAATGTGCCACCAGCTGTTAGCTTGTGTAGCATCTCCTGCCGTTGGGTGCACGGTTTCGAGTCCTGTTGGCACATGAGTGGGAGGGTATTTTAAGGGAAAACGGAATATTTACATATACTTTGCATCGTTCTACCATTTATTGGATTAATTGGACAAAACTATCCTTGAGTTACAATCTGCTGTTCTTCCAACTTCAGTTGGTAAAAGGTATGTTTCGATATCAGTTTGGATTGTGTTCCTGAAAGTGATCTCATAGTTTTGATTCTCATAGATTGCTCGTTCAAACTCGAAAAACCTTATGCATGAGGTGGATTCAGATGTTGATAGACGTGTCTGGACAAACACATAGTACATATTAACAGTCCTGCGATAAGCTTTGATACCAAGATTAGGATGGCATAGGCTTGTAGGGCCGGTTGTTTTGGTAGGTGAAGGTTACCAAAATTATGAATATTAGGGGGCACTGGAATGTGCAAGAAGAGTTCTGTGTTTTGGGATTATATTTTGTTAGAAAGAACTAGGTTTATTGGAGCAGTTGTGGACACATGAATGGTACTTATTTTGTGCCAGTTTGTTTCGTTTGATGTGAAATTCTTGTTATTTGAGTGGAAAAAAGATGAGATTTATAGATAGAATCTACAGCAAAACAAATGCTAAAAAGGTCCAGTTGTGGGGTTGTACGAGCTTAAAGGTGCAAAAAAATTTAAGAAAAGAAAAGGGGAAAGGCTAGGGAATGGATCCTGAACTTTGTCGGGCATCGTACCTGGGGTAAAAATGGCATGAGATAATCTTCAAAGAGCATATTGCTTAAAATTTCTCTGGAACTCATTGGCCATTTTATTGAGTGGACTACATAACAGTGTATAAAGTTTTAAGCACTCCTAAGTCCCAATTGTAATAGGATCGAAGTTGAACTCAATAAGCGATAGCGTAGAATCTTATGACTACAAAGTAAACTAACGAAGACCCATTCACCTTAAGAATATTCTTCATTGTCTATCAAAAAAGAATTGGGGAAACCTAGCTAAGCTCAAACTAGACAACATAGGTACCAACGCCACAATGTAAACTAATCTGCCTAATATATCCCTTCCTTTTCTGAACCTCTTTCGGACTACATGCAGAATGTGTTAAACCAGGATAATTAGGTACATATAAAGTTATATGGCAATCAAAGAGCGCACGTTCCACTAGCTAAACTTCACGTCTTTGATTTGTTGAGGTTTTCTACTTTATTTTACCCTGGGAATGCAAACTTGAGAACTGACACAGGTGGTTCCAATGGAGTAATTCGGTTATGGCCTTGTGGTGGTGGAAAGAGGGGGAGGGCATGCCCATGGATTTTTTTGTCTTTTTTGGCCCCCCTAAGTTTTGATATTTTCCATTAGTATGGTTATATCTAGCCCCAAATTTGAAGTTTCTGGTTCCACACTGGATGTGGCTGTCTCAAATAACTTTATTACGTGAAGACCAACTCTAGTAATACGATTTTTGGTAACATGGCAATTTATATACATCTAGTGTTTTGTTCCTATAGGACCTTGCACTTCCATTCTTTTTTCTTTATCGAAGTTTCTACCTATTTCTACATCTTTTAATTGATTTACCCAAGTAATTAATAAGAAGTATTTGTGATTTTGTTGGCAGCAGAGTAAATCTTTTTTTAATTATCATTTGGCAGTCCTTTAAGATAAATATTTGATTGTTCTTTACTTTGGAGCAGAATATCGACGATAAGATCTGTTCCTTGGATTACAAGAACTACAAGGCAGAAATAATGAATGCGGATGCTCAGGATTCTTACAAGGATGGAGTGATTGTTTTGGTAACTGGATGCTTAACTGGGAAGGATAACCTGAGAAGAAAATTCGCACAAACCTTTTTCCTTGCTCCACAAGACAAAGGGTACTTTGTCTTGAATGATGTTTTTAGGTATGTCGAGGAAAGTGAACCTTTGGAAATCAACGCAGAGACCACTAATGGAATTGATGATACCCCATCAGCATCCCTGACCCCAGTTCCAGGTTTTCTTCCCTCATTTTTATGTAGTTTTCATTCAGTTATGCTCATGCTGTCTGGAGCAAGCCTTTTGGTATAATATTTCATTTTTTCCAGAGCCCGCCCGTGTGCTCGATCCTCCAATGCTGGACCAGGCAACTTTGCATGTAGAGGTTCTGAATGTTGAGGAAAATGCCCACGACCCATTGGACAATGAGAGACATTTAGCTAATGAAAGGGAAGTGGTGGTCGATCCTGAACTTCATATGGCTTTGGATCACATTTCTGCACTTACAGAATCAGCGGCTTCTACTGCCCAAGAGGATTCTCCAAAGAAGTCATATGCATCCATTGTAAGTTCACAAACCAAGAAAAGGGTTTCAGGGCCTACTAAAGTTTACATACCCTCTAACAACACAAGGGTGGATCCTTCAAAGATGGAAAAACAGCCAGTTAGTTTGGCTGCACAAACTCCGGCACCTGAAGCATCAGCCTCTAGTGCCCCTAGCAGCGTCAATGCCCATGAGAGTTGGAGTGCTCAGGATGAAGGTATTTATGCTCCGTACTGGCATAAGATATGTTGTTGCCTTCCTTCTTGAACACTTTTCCAAAATATATAGAGTCAAAAGAGATATGGAGTTCGAAGGGGAGGGGGTTTTCAGCAGGGCTCTAGAGATGAAATAGATAGCCCCACAAGTTTTGAATACCCCGCTAGGGCATTCACACATAAAAAGTGCGCTTTGAACCTCATCTTCAAGCACTTATATATGAAGATGATCCTTGATGCATCATTGTTTGGGTGCCATAATGAGAACATTTCTAGGTGTAAATCTAGTGTACTGGAAGTTGGCACTACATTATCTGCTTCTTATTCATGTTATTATTGTAGTTTCTTCTTTTAAGTCTCATGAAAGATATTTCTTATTTCTATTTAACATCCTCATTTAACTCCTTATAGCTGAGGGACACTTCATTTTTATCCGGAATTTGCCTCTAAATGTGATGGTTACTCAACTCGAGGTGGAGTTCAAGAAATTTGGACCTATTAAGCAAGGAGGTGTACAAGTCAGAAGTAACAAGGTTGGCAGGCACACAACTTGTTTAGCATGTTATTCAGTGCTTGTCTAAATGGTCTTTTAATGTTTGTGTCTTCATCACTTTATCTTCTGTCAGCAACAGGGATTCTGTTTTGGGTTCGTGGAGTTTCACTATTTGAGCTCCGTGCACAAGGCAATTCAGGTATTTTGCAAGTCACCGTTAGTAATCTCATGCTAGTGACTTGTCCAGATATATTGATGTAGAGAAGGTTCTATGACTATTGATTTACCATGATGGATGGGTATACCCTCGGCATACAATAGCATGCGTTTGTTTTGTTATATTCTTTTAAGATTCCCGGTATCATTTAAGATTTTGTATTACATATATCAAAAGGGCCAAAGTAGTTACTAGTACTCACGTGAGGATAACCAATGTCAGAATAAAAATCCATGAGATATATATTTGTTTACGTGTAANCGGTATCATTTAAGATTTTGTATTACATATATCAAAAGGGCCAAAGTAGTTACTAGTACTCACATGAGGATAACCAATGTCAGAATAAAAATCCATGAGATATATATTTGTTTACGTGTAATGGATTTTTTAGTGCATATTGAGAATGAGGTTTCCCTAACGTGTCAAGCTCAAGCCATATATTGATGTGGTGTGTTTGATGGATGTGCCAGGCCACCAGCATCGCCCTCCGCACTGGCTGATAATGCTTTTAAGATGTGGACATACCCTGTATTTTGAAGTAATCATACTTCGATTTTTTCCCTTTTTAGAGTCAACTTGTTGAAATCTGTCTCTGGATTTAGTAGCTGACACTGTTGCAGTTTCCCTTGATCAATGTTTCTGGAAAATCTTGTCTGTGTTCATTACACATGCCNTGATACTCAGAACTAAGATGTGGACATACCCTGTATTTTGAAGTAATCATACTTCGATTTTTTCCCTTTTTAGAGTCAACTTGTTGAAATCTGTCTCTGGATTTAGTAGCTGACACTGTTGCAGTTTCCCTTGATCAATGTTTCTGGAAAATCTTGTCTGTGTTCATTACACATGCCAACACACGAAAATAGCTGCCCCAGGTTGCAGAGTGGGACATGGGAACAAATGAATTTTTTTAATCGATGTGGCCTTATAACATTGTGGATTCCCCCCATTGTTAATATAACAAAATCTAGTTTTTCAGGCGTCACCGATTACTATTGGGGGTCGTCAAGCTGAAGTTGAGATAAAGAGGACTACAACTCGAGGCAAGTGAATCAGGCCTTTGGATATACTACTAAGAACTAGGCAGATTTAATCCAGAAATCAATGACATGGGAATTTTCATGAAGAATTGTTGATTGTTGGCAACCACATTAAATGAAGCGATGCAATTTTTCCATCACAGTTTCATATTTATATCATGCAGCTCATACTTGCTGCGGTTTCTTGCAGTTGACAGTGTGAGGGGTCGTTTTCTTCCTGGACGGGGAGGGTTTCGAAATGACAGCTTCAGGGACCGTGGAAACTTTGCTGGTGGTCGTGGCTACATCAGAAATGACTTTGGAAGCCGTGGTAACTTCTCAGGGCGAGGTAGGGGCCCAGGTGGGCGCAGTGGAGAAGGCTATCAGCAAGGAAGAGGGAGAGGTGGCCCTTGAGGTGGTGGTGCAAGTCAAAATGCTATTCCAGTCTGAAACTATGGCTGGACAATTTTTTGTGGATATTTTTAACAGTTTTTCGTTGTCGGTTCAAATAGTGAAGGCTAGTGATCTACTCATATTAACTTCAGAAAAGCCAATAACTTTATTCTTCTGAATTACAGTTTCTTCAAGTTTTTTTTTTTTTGGGATCAGTTTCTTCAAAAGATGAAATGGCATTCTGTGTAGTTCCAGGTATTCTTTCTCACAGTGGTTGTGTAGGGTGGCTACTATGTTCATTGGTAGAAAATAACTTTTGCAGAACTTCCATGTCTTTAGACATTNCCAGGTATTCTTTCTCACAGTGGTTGTGTAGGGTGGCTACTATGTTCATTGGTAGAAAATAACTTTTGCAGAACTTCCATGTCTTTAGACATTTTATGGAAAAAGTTTCCAGCAGAATTCTCTTAATGTGATGATCCTAACAAATCAGCAGAAAAATCTACCAGAAGTAAGGGCAGCTAAGTTTTGTTGGGTATTTTATATTGACACAGCTGCATCGTTTATGGTGCAGACGGATACTGATCACTTGTTGTATAGCAGGGGTGTTGTTCAACAAAACCACACCATTTTGTACATAAAATGATGTCTTTTTTTTTTTTTTCCCGCAAAATGGAGCAGCACCCCGTACAGCAGCGATTCGGACTTGGTGCAGACTGAGGATTAAAATTTCAGTACACTGTTTTGTGCACGATGTCTTTTTATTCCCCTAAACGACGTCGTTTTGTGGAATAACATCCCTGCTGTACAACAGGGGATCCGGACTTGGTGCAGATTGAGGATCTTTTGATCCTACAGAATGCACATCCAAATCTTTCAATTGTATATCTGAACCTTGTGTTGATTTTAGGGGCAAGAGCAGCGCCCTTTTTGTGTATTCTGTGATTTNATCCAAATCTTTCAATTGTATATCTGAACCTTGTGTTGATTTTAGGGGCAAGAGCGCCCTTTTTGTGTATTCTGTGATTTCAGGTCTAATCACAAATCGTTGGGCTACCTGTGCGGGTTAAATTTGATAGATGAACAACACCAAGCTTGTTCTCAAGTATCTTCAGATATTATATATTTATCCCATCCCAACTCTTTTATTCTTGTAGATTTTTTCAAAATTAAAATTTTTAGGCTTTGATTTTTTAATTGATTATACAAATTTTGAGAATATTTTTGTGGAAATTTTGATTATTAGATTTTAGGATTTATATTTTAACAAAAAATTTAAGAAAATTTAATTTAATTTTATCGTTATTTTTAATGTTAGTGTTATTCTTTAAATAGAGATGGGTCAATTTTAAAAACTTGCTCGATCCACGACAATCACACCTTTCGCATTTAAACCAATTAAGTAGATCATATTATCCATCAAATTTTATTTTCATTAGTCATATTTAAGTTCATTAAAAATCGATAACCCAATGGGATCGATCACCATTCTTGTTTGGATACAAGTCTAATGATAGAACACTATAATCAGTGCGTGAAAAATAAAATTATACACACGTGTGTGTGTGTGAATGCGATATTCGTGTACAAAGTTGAGGTTAAACAAAGTAAAAAGCCCGTTTCTAATAAACTAATGTCATAATTTGATAGAATTGATTAATGTCTTATGTGGTATGATGAAAATATAAAGAATAATGCTATTTGACTTAAAAAAAAATTGACATAATTTATTGATATAATCATGTGTCAAATGATGGAGTTTAAATAAAAANCTATTTGACTTAAAAAAAAATTGACATAATTTATTGATATAATCATGTGTCAAATGATGGAGTTTAAATAAAAAAGTTCAAGAGTTACAATCACTATAACATTATTGGAATATGTAATTATCACATCTCTAGGTCAAAGGATTATGTTAATGTTTTAGGTATCAATAGTATTATTCAAAAATAAAAAGATGAAAAAAAAAAAAATTGGGTCAAAAAATATGAAAAGTTGAAAAGTTCTCTAACAACATCTCCATCTTGCTAGCTATCCTCTAATTATTTATTTATTTTGGCAAGGCTAACTCCAAAAACTAGCTCCAATCCAAATAACTATCCTCCTCGCCAAAAATTTAGGAGGTCTTCATGNTTTATTTATTTTGGCAAGGCTAACTCCAAAAACTAGCTCCAATCCAAATAACTATCCTCCTCGCCAAAAATTTAGGAGGTCTTCATGCTTGTCAAATCTAGAGAAGCAACTTACTTGCCATTTTTTGCTATTAAACTTCTTCAATTGAATAACCAGGTATTCATTCCCCTCCACCCCTTTCTCTTTTACTGTTAAAACCCACCTACCCCTCAAATAAAGTAGATAATATAATATTTATATATATTTTAACTNTGCTATTAAACTTCTTCAATTGAATAACCAGGTATTCATTCCCCTCCACCCCTTTCTCTTTTACTGTTAAAACCCACCTACCCCTCAAATAAAGTAGATAATATAATATTTATATATATTTTAACTGGTCCTTATACTCGGGTGAGATAGACTTGATCTAATCATTTTGAGCATTTGAGTAAAAAAGAAAAAATCAAAAGAGAAAATACTACGCTTATTATTATTTNTAGATAATATAATATTTATATATATTTTAACTGGTCCTTATACTCGGGTGAGATAGACTTGATCTAATCATTTTGAGCATTTGAGTGAAAAAGAAAAAATCAAAAGAGAAAATACTACGCTTATTATTATTATTTTTTTGGACAAAACATGTATAAAAGAAACATACACAACAATCCACACGACAAAATTTAACACACACATAGAGAGGGACCCACAAAACTGGTGAAGATGTGAGATTGAAACATAATTTTTTTTTTTTTGGACAGAACATGCACAGAAGAAACACACACGAGAAAACTCAACACATACATAGAGAGAGACCCACAAAATTAGTGAAGAGCAACCGATATGGGATTGGAAAAAATATTATCCTTATCAAAAAGTGTTTTTACGAAATAAAATGATAATTTTATATTCAATTAAANCAATCCACACGACAAAATTTAACACACACATAGAGAGGGACCCACAAAACTGGTGAGGATGTGAGATTGAAGCATAATTTTTTTTTTTGAACAGAACATACACAGAAGAAACACACACGAGAAAACTCAACACACACATAGAGAGAGACCCACAAATATTTTAATCATTATTTGGTGGGTCGAAGTTTAATTTAGAACTACAAACTCATTTGGTAAAAATTTGAGTTTGAATCCCATTTTCTAAAAACAAGTTGCATGTAACGTGTCTCTCTCTTTCGGTCTGACAGGTCGCGTGCGTACGACAGCCGTATGACGTAAATTACTTTCCAACAGAAAGCGGACACGTCGCCTTCAAGCAAGTTGTTTGCTGCTTAGCTGTTTGATTTGAAACTATTTTTCAGCGGCACATGTACTTCAAACTTCAACAACCCACCAAACTCCACGTGGCACATCACTAAAAGTGCAAGTTGGGAACCCCTTTGGGCCCCACATTTGATCTCCTCTTGATTTCCTTCGTCTTGCGTGTGGTTCGGAGATTCTTTTTTATTTTTTTTTAAGAAATACCGTAAATCAAATTTATAATCTAAATTTGTGTTTTAAACGAAAACGGATTATTGAATGATTGGGTCCTATTAATTTTTTTTAAATGAAACCTACCGATTTAATGATCCTCTTTTATTTAGGATGCAAATTTAAGTTTCAAATTTGAATTACATAATATTACTCATTTTTTTAGTCCTTCTTATTCCTACCCACTTGACAATTAATTAATTTACACAAATTTTCACTTCATTTTGAATTATTCATAAATTCTCCTCGATGTAACTTTATTTCGGTCAAAAAATCTAACTATCTATCTATTTATCTATATCTATACATACATATATATATATATAGTCCCGTTCAGACACGTGAAATCGAGTATTGAAATTCATACACGAAATAAAAAGGACCATAAGACGCCCTAGAACTCTCAAATAAGAGTGTTTATACTGTCGTGTTGTGTCATTTTTTTGACGTGTTAATTTTACGCCGTGTTATTTTCGGTACGTCTNATCTATATCTATACATACATATATATATATATATATATATAGTCCCGTTCAGACACGTGAAATCGTGTATTGAAATTCATACACGAAATAAAAAGGACCATAAGACGCCCTAGAACTCTCAAATAAGAGTGTTTATAGTGTCGTGTTGTGTCATTTTTTTGACGTGTTAATTTTACGTCGTGTTATTTTCGGTACGTTTCGTGTTCTTTTTAATAAAATATTATTTCTATAACAACTCATATGATACTATTTTAAAAAATTATTTATTTTTTATTTANTCGTGTTCTTTTTAATAAAATATTATTTCTATAACAACTCATATGATACTATTTTAAAAAATTATTTATTTTTTATTTACATGACCAATTAATTGTGTCATTTTCAAATTTCGTATTAGATTGAATTCATATCGATTTCGTGTGAATAGATAAAAATAAAATTGACACATCTCCTTTCAATGCCTAAACCAAACTAAAGAATGAGAACATGTATATACCTAGTTGTTGGTTTAAAATGAGTAATTTATTGACATCATCACAGCATGTTGCATTAAAACAACTGTCACTTGGTGAGCAACTTGCATGAATTATTTACACGTCAAGTTATCTTACATGATGAAAGAACAAAAATAATGTATTATAATCCCACCCACTTGCAGAGAATTGCATTTTTGCCAAACATTAAATAATGNATCTTACATGATGAAAGAACAAAAATAATGTATTATAATCCCACCCACTTGCAGAGAATTGCATTTTTGCCAAACATTAAATAATGTCTTTTTAATCCATTGTTTGGGAGAGATTAGTACTTAACTATACTTGTGGTTCTATGCNTGTCTTTTTAATCCATTGTTTGGGAGAGATTAGTACTTAACTATACTTGTGGTTCTGTCTGTGTTCCATGCATTGAACCTTATTTTCGT